GCTACCCCCACATTGCAACCCAGGACACCAAATTATGATCTGTTACCTGGAGTAAAGTCACTAAACTAAGCCAGGAAGTGGGAGATCATAAAGCCAAATATGTGAAAAAGTCCAATAGCTTTTCATTATTCATTGTTTTATGCTAATAATAACACATCATAAAAATAAAATAGATTTTATGATGCAGAATAAACATGAGATTTCCAAATAGTGCTGTGACCTGTTTTTTGAATGAGATAACATAGTGGTTTCAGCACAACCATGTTGACAAGGTAGTGAATTGAAATGCTGAGAATGGGCAACATGCACCATGTATACCTTCTCCCAAGTCTTTTCTGTGAAGTAGCATTTGACCAACTGCTTTCAGCATTTGTTTGCCATTACACTTTCAGTTTCTTGAGTAGAAAATGTGCAGAATTTCAAGATGGTGAGTAAATCACATCAAAAAATAGTGTAATTAGAAGAAGACAGCATACCTGAAAAATCAAGGACTTCAATGCAATATACACTGAAGTATAGTACTTTAAGGGAGGTGGGGAAGTTACATGTACTGCAGGGCAACCTGACTGTACATACAGACTGGGGAATGAGAGGCTGGAAAGTAGTGTTGCGGAAAGGGACCTGGGAGTCCTTGTTGATGGCAAGCTGAATATGAGTCAGCAGTGTGCCCTGGCAGCCAGGAGGGCCAACCGTGTCCTGGGGTGCATCAGGCAAGACCAATTGAGGGAACTCATTGTCCCACTCTACTCTGTGCTGCTGCAGCTTCACCTTAAATATTCTATGCCATTTTGGGCACCACAATATAAGAAATGTATTAAGTTATTACTTATTGTCCAGAGGAGGGCAACAAGGATGGTGAAGGGCCTAGAGGAAAAGCCATATGAGGACTGGCTGAAGTCACTTGGTCTGTTCAGCCTGGAGAAGAGGAGACTGAGGGGAGATCTCATGGCTGTATGCAGCTTCCTCACGAAAGGAAGTGGAGGGGCAGCACTGGCCTAGTCTCTCCAGCAACCAGTGACCAGACCTGGGGGAATGGTGTGAAGTTGTGTCAGAAGAGGTTTAGGTTAGATATTAGAAAAAGGTTCTTCACCCAGAGGGTGACTGGACACTGGAACAGGTCCCCAGGGCAGTGGTCACAGCCCCAAGCCTGACAGAGTCCAAGAGGCATTTGGACAATGCTCTCAGACACATGGTATGATTCTCAGGGATATCCTGTGCAATGCCATCTTTCCCCGGTGGTGTTTGGGCAGTGGAACAGCTCCCCAGGGCAGTGGTCACAACCCCAAGCTTGACAGAGCTCAAGGAACATTTGGACAGTGCTCTCAGGCACATGGTATGATTCTCAGGGATATCCTGTGCAATGCCAGGAGTTGAACTAGATGATCCTCATGGGTCCCTTCCAAATATGATTGTTCTGTGGTTCAAATGTTTATGTCTGACTCTTTCTTAAACTGAAGGTAAGACAAACCAAGGATCCCAAACCCCAGACAATCTGGAGGACTACGAGACAAAAAACTGCATAGAAAGCCCCTGATAATAAAATCACATTGTGTCAGCTCTCTCCTATTGCTAATGTGAATATCCACACCCTTACAAGTTTTTTAAGGGTTCTGTATCAATCCACAATATCGTGGCATTGCCATCTTAGCAACTGTGTAAGATACTTCCTTTCTCAAGAAGCTATAGTCAATAGTTACAAAGTTTTATTAGCTCTTAAGGAAATGAAAGATGCTGCTTTGCATCAACTTTATTTTCATGTTTGCAGGTTATTGAGAAGGTGTTGTAAATGTTCACTATTTTGTTGTAGAACATTACATGGCTACAGGTAATAAAAGCTTAGTATACTGTTCCCTTTGTGAAGTTTACCTGGATAATCTAAAATATTTTTTCATTACTTTATGACATTCTGCTTGCACAGTGTTTTCCACCAACATTGCCTTTTCACCCATTTTTACTTAGAGGAAATTGCTGAACATCACGTCTTAGCCCCACACCATCAGGAAGCAATTGTAATATGAAGCAAATAATTAATTAGTAGATTTCAAAGCTAAAGCCAATCATAACATAAATATGGTAAAGCAAAAAGAGGGAGATGGAGCAGAAATTATATAAAACAAAACAAAACCCAAACAATTTCCCACTGTTGAAATACTTGGTTTTTAGTGCCGTATCATTTGTCTCTACATGCAGCGTGAAGCTGGAATTCTCTTATGGTTGTCTGGTGGTGATGATGACACTGAACTACTTAGCCAGAGATAACTCTGTCTGCTCCAGCCCCAACCTGGCCAGCTTCACTAGCTCTTCTTATGTTTTGCTGTGGTATACTCTTTTAATTGTGAATCATGGTGTATATATATTACAAGTAATGCACAGTTTTGTAGGTCGTTACAATATTTTGCAAGAATCCTCAAAATATTTCAATATAAATTGTAACTAGTTACATTTAAAAGCAAAATAAGGGAGAAGAAATAAGAAAACATACTAGATGTACTTTTGTATGCTTTTCTATTTAACTTGTGACATCTGGTTTCATGTGTAGGTTATGTGGAAGCTTTGGTGATACCGGCAGGAGCAAGGAGAATAAAAGTTGTGGAAGAAAAACCAGCTCACAGTTATTTAGGTAAATGTTACATGTTTTAGCATTAATGCCCTTCTTTGGTCAACACTGGAAAGTGCTAGCTAAACATTTTTGTGATTGAACAAGACTGAATGGAAAAAAAGATCTGTGAAGAACTTGTCTAAAGAAATAGAAGAATGGTTAGAGCACCATTTTTCATACTGGTCCTATTCTGAGCTTTCATCTCATCTTGCTTAGAGAATATTTCAAGACTGTATTTAGATGATTTAAGAAAAATTCTGCATACTTGCACATTTTCAGTTTTTCATATGGAAAGCACATTAAAACTAGCGAAAAGAGTTTTATGCTCAAACATGGAATAATTTGTGTTCAAACAACAAAACACACGCTAAGCAACATGTAGCAGTTTTTAGTTTTTTGATTTACGTGTATTTGTCTTTCACTGATAAAGTTTTTGTCTTTTAATGAGGTCTAAATATGTTGTGTAGGAGAATATAATTTGTTGCCATTATTGTTACAGGGTTTAGGTGAATACATAAAATATGATTGATGTTGTTTTGTGCAACACTTAAATTCAAATGGAGAGAGTCATAGTATGAAAAATAGGACAATGAAATGAAAAATTCCCTGACTTGATCACGATTCTTAGTTCTGTTCATAAGTAATATCTACATTTTAAGAAACTTTTTTACCTGAGTGTTTTCAGTACTTCAATTGAGAGAATGTTGAATATGGTGAATCTTCATTATGACAGCTTAAGTTATCAATGGGTGACTGCTGGCTTAACATGTTGTCTGCGTCTGCCCTATTAAGGTATCACAGGAGATTCAGACATACCAATTATTTCATTGTTCCCTAATGGACTATAGACACGGATATATAAGAGTGATGAAATAATAACTGAAGTTTGTCTACCATGTTAACACATGTAGACAACAGAAATATATTTTTTTTAATAATGCAAAACCAAATCAATGTTGCAATTGTATTCAGGGAATGTTTTTCCTTTTTTACAACTGATTCATCCCTTACCTTACAAAAGGCAAAAATAATGAAATGTCTTTTAAGCCCATGAAATAATGTCAGGCATGCTGCTCATTTTTGAAATCTGCTAATTAGCTCTTAAATTGCTTGTCACATTAATTTTTCTTTTTGTAATTTCACTGGTTTAGGTCTGAATGAGGATCAGCCAATATTTCTCTGCAATATTTTTTTTGTTAAGTCTTTATGACTTCTTTTTTGGCAAGCCTTTTTGGGAAACCAGGAAGAGTTCTGTTGCTGTATTTTGAATTAAAACTTGTGTTGTTGTGCTCTTTTTTATTTTTACTAATGTAAGGTATTTAAACTTTATTTATAGGTGATTTATTCTGAAAGCATCAAAATCTGAATTGAAGTGAGAGTTTAATAGGAACAATAGGAGTAATGTAGTGAAAGTTTTGTGGAGAAAGCTTAAATCTTTAGTCTTAGAAATAATATTCTTCAAAATACTGTGGTTAAATATGTGAAATGTAATACAAATTAAATTCTTTCATGTTTCTGATTAGTTTTCTATCTTATAGTTCTATATGCTAGTTTTATGTGAAACTGTACTTTGTTCTCTGTATTTCTGTACTTCAAATCAATACAGTCAATACAGAGTCAATACAGGCCAACACTATTTCTGTTTTGCTTATTGTCATACACACATTTTAGGATTAAGGTTTTATAATAATACAGTTCACTACATAATTAATTACTGTATATTTGAAGATACAGCTGTAAACGCAATTTATTCCAGCACAAGTTTACACTTTTGACTTAGAAAGTAGAAGTTAATTGAAACTGAAGGAACGTTTGATCCTTGTTTTACAGCACAGGTCAAGTACAGAGGGAGTCAAAATACAATGCCCTTCTCTGAACTTACTTGGTGGTCAGAAAAGAGAGTCACTATGTTCTGGAAACTGATGAATTTGCTAAATCAAGTAGTGAAACTACAGTCCACATCAGTAGCATCAGGGGTGATTGTGCAGTAGTAGCAAATCTTCAGAGATGTTGTACTTGAACACCTGCGATATCTTCTTTATCTGAAGTATATCAACTTACAGTACAGGAGCTCTGGCATCCTAGAAGAAAAGATAAGGTATAACTTGCAACTGCATTTACTGAATCAGTTGACCTGTTGACAACTGTCCTGTCTCTTCTCACCTGTGGAAAAGTAGGAGCAGTGATACAGGCAAATATTAGGTATTCCTCCCTGCTGGAATTGTATCTGAAAATACATAAGAGATTGTGATACATCTTTTATCAGTACAATATGCAGGAATGGGAATTTTTTGTAGCAGTACAGAGGTCAAGGAGTGTTTATTTGAGTTAAGAATATTTCCTAAAGTATACACTTACTAATTTTTGAATTACAAATCACCATTTTAAGAATTAATTTTGTGATTTATTTGTAAAGAATTAATCAGCAGTGATAACGCTGTCTGTTTAGAACCATTTTTGAGACTTGTTTCACTGTCAGATACTTACAAAAAATATTATAGGAGCAGCTATAAAAAAGTTGCTTCGAGCATTATCTATATTCCTATGGTCTAAGATATAAATGAAAATTTAGCAACAGAAAAGGCATTATTTGGCAAGTGTTACAAGTTTTGTTTTCAACTAAGCTTCCTAATACAGGATACGAATAGGAAAATTACGATGTTTCTGTCTGAGACACACTAGGCTTTGAGATTAGATAACTCATTCATGTGACACTTGTATAATGGCGTGACAGGTCCATTTTCAGCTGATTAAATAAGTGGATTAGCTGTGTGATTATTCTCAAATATGTGATCAGGCTTATTCAGGGATACTAGACCCTTTGGATTTGCAATGTAACACAGCATGACATTGAATTTCCAATTCTCTTATAGATATCTGTCTCATAGGTGTGTTGTGTTCTGTGTGATTTCTTTCATGAAATGTTTCCTAGTTTTAAAAAAGCACATTGGGCCACGTTTTGAGGGAAAAGAGTGTGGGAAAGCAGATGGGGTCTGACAAATAGTAGAAAATTTTGAATCCCACATTTCTAACAATGTTAAGAGTTTAAAGATACCTTGAACAAAGTCTGTGTAATCTGTTATGGAAACTCCCATGTCTGACCATTCATGAGACTCTCTGGCAGTCAGACTCCCAAAACCAGAGACTTTAAGTGGTTGAGCCCCAAGTGCCTTCACAGAGGGTGGCTCCAGTGAGCAGGTGGGTGCACACACCTCCCTACACACCCCACACTCATGCACAGTCAGACAAGATTTCCTTACCAGTTCAGCCCAGGGTTTCCCTTCTTAGACATCATGTTCCACAATTAATTTATTCACAGCACAGTAACACAACACCAGATTGAGCTGATGTCCTTGAGGAGCAACCCTCCAACAAAGGACCCGTGGGCTTTTATACCCTCACAGTCTACCCACACACAAATCCCACATGCATGCTCTTCTTTCTGAGCCCTCTGCTCCTGCCCACCTCTCCACGTCCATCCATGGCCCTGGCATATCACTCCTTGCTTGCATGTGGCTCACCTGACAAGTCGTCATCTCCTTGTTACCCAAAAAGTTGGCTATTCCTGGCCCCTGCTGTACCTCCCAGCATTAATTCAACCAGGTGAAGGTTCACTCATCTTCATGTCCTTTGTTATCCCAAAGGTTGGCAATTCACAACCTCTTATCTCAGGCTCCCACCCGGAGCTCAGTCTGCATTTCAATCTGCATCTCAGCCTCTTCCTTTCGTATACAGAGGACCATAGAAAATGGTTAGCAAGTAATAAGTAATTCCTTTTGGAATCATTTTACATCAAGACAAAACTAATGTCCTCTCTATAAAAAAACTTGATTGACTTCACAGTCACATTGACTGATTTTGAAAAACAACAGTGAACAGGTTCAGAGCCTATAGATAAAACTTAGAAACTGTGTGGCTGGGGGTTACAACAGTCAGCCCAACCGAATGAAAGGCACAATTCACAGTGCCTTAATACAGTGGCGTGATGTTTTGCAGTTTTCCACAGAAAGCACAAATGGATTAGTAGGCACTGATTTACCAAGAGGAGGACCAGAACCAGGGCACTCTTGCTCCCAACTGAGAACCAGGAGATGCAATAGCTGAACTGAAATTTGTTGCGTCTTTATGGCTGTGTAGCCTCTCAAACCTAATCAAAATTGGAAGAGTGCTTATCCCTGGTACAGTTATTAAAAAAGACCTTGCACTCATCACCAGCATTTAAATGCCATGTGTGATGGAGGCTATTTTATTCTCTGCAGAGGTGCACTTGTAATTAGCCCCCTTGGTTTAGCACTGAAATTTTGGTCATGGTTACAGCTGCAGCAGGCTTTCCTAGTCCAAGTTTTCTTTGGTTATGTTTTTAGCCATAGACATATTGCTTTAATCACTTAGAGGATACACTTGCCTGCTGAATTTTTCCCCTGTATTGCATTACTTTGTATAGGACAACCTCCTCTGTCATAAGCTAAACAGAATGAGAATACGTGTGTGGTGTGGAATAAAAAAACTCAGTAAACTTGCCTGCAATATGGGATGTGACAGAGTCAAGAACAGAAGCTGGGCTGCCTGGCTCCAAGTCCAAATTTCAGGCTTGAGGATACTCTTTCTTACTTTGTCTAACACCAGTGACTCAAGTGAGGAACCTGAAAGCAGAATATGCAAGATCTGGCATATTTCTGTGTTCTGTAGCTAGTATTCCAGTTCCATGCTCATATCTGCGTGCTATTGCATACCCATTCATTTTAAAGACAAGACAAAATGATATCTGTGCTCTTTGGGGAGAGAGGATGCTGCTCCATCTGAGCAGCATGACCTGGCTGGACCTTGGCACTTTTGAGTACATTTGTTTAATTTTTCTACTGGGAAGAGGATTGGCCCCTACAGTTCAAACACTAAATAAAACTTAATTGCCATTAATAATGGAATGTTTAAACCTAAAATACCAATTTTTAAATCTTGTCAAATCACTGGTTATTTTTACTACAGGACAGTTCTACAGCATTAGTGGATTTTATAGTCTTAACATTTATTATACAGTGCTGCAGTGGTACACATCAGTGGTGTCTTATACGATTGGATTTGTGCCAGTCCATAGGCCTGTTGCCATTGTTTCCCATAGAAACAAAACATAACAGTATAAATATGAATAGGAGAGGAGATGATTACACGAGTGACTCACATTAACTTACAACTTTAAAAAAGGATATTTTGGAACATGTAGAGGTTCTCTTACAACAACCCCATGCCAAACATGCATTTCAATGAAGACAAATGTGTCAGACTTCTTGTCCAGAAGATGACTTCAAGTATATTCTACTTCACATGCTTATTCAGACCTGATCAGAACAAAATGAAGCAAAACTAAAGTACAAATCCTTCACAGAAGAATCTATTCCATTTATTTTAGAAAAATTGCGTAAAATCCTGGGTTCTCAGTATTTGAAATATATCTTACCTGACTTGATTATGTTTTCAAATAGAAATTAGGCCAACATGAGGAAGGATTCAGCCAAAAAGAACAAGCTTTTCCTATTTGTTAGAAGCATCCAGTTATGTGGTGAAATTGTACAAAGTATTGTCACATTCTAAGATGAAAAAAAGGCAAATGTAGTTATTAGAGAGCAAAGAATTCTGAACTACAAATTTTTTGGGTAAGTTTTAGCCTAATTCCACAAATCCTGAAGAGTTTTTTTTGTGAAAAATGTTTCCTATGCCTTTATGGAATAAAGAATAGTTGCCGTTGCCTTAAATTAAATCAGTGCTCAAATTATGAATTATGCAGGGGCCTGTCAGTCTCTTCAGGCATTAAAACACTGATGTTAACTTTAAGTAATGTTAAACTGACATGGTTTTGCCCAGCATTCCCTCCAGAACATGTTTCTGAAGCATGTCCCAGCTGAAGATCATGTACAGTAGGATCCATAAATGTCTTTGCATTCAGAGTTAGGTGATTTCATCTACTTGTTAAATTATATGAACAAGAAGTGAAAGGAGAACCGAATCACTATTGAACAAACACCTTTTATAAGGGTCTTTTTTCATATATTTTGCAGCTCTTCGGGATGCTGGGAAACAGTCAATCAATAGTGACTGGAAGATCGAGCATTCTGGAACATTCAATATTGCTGGGACCACTGTCCATTATGTTCGGAGAGGTCTGTGGGAGAAAATATCAGCGAAAGGTCCTACAACATCACCTTTACATTTACTGGTATGAAAATTCAAGTTTTCACTTGATTCCCATCATATAGCATGGTAATTAATATTTTTTCCAGACTTCTGAAGATAATGAGATCAATGTAAGATATACCTGGGGGAGTTGTATATATTCACATATATTTATACATATTTGTATGCACATATATATACACACACACACATAAATATGTATATAAGTATGCATACCTATATGCATATATATCCCCACAAAAGCAGGTGTGTGTGTATATGTACATACATATATGTCCCCCTGTTTGTAAAAAAAATCCATTTCAATCCAAGAATAATCTTTCCATTGTAGAGGCAGGGTTTCAGGGTTTTGAACTTCTGCTACAATTATATCATAAAAGGCTGATGTGCCAGTTAAGGGAGAGATTCAAATTTTAGTCCTGGCTGACTATAGCACAGCATCACCTTTCCAGAACTGCAATCACCAGGTTCTCTGTGAAGTAGAATTTTGATGCATTTCATTGTAGAGGAGGAACAGTTAATAGCCACCAGGAGGAAAGAGGGTAAGGTAATAAGAGAGTGCTTTGCAATTCAAATTCTTCAAATGCGAGAAATTTCCATAGTTAAGCAAAATGATTTTTTCCTGTTGGTTTGATTTCTATACTCTCATTTCCTTCTACCAAATCCATTAGGAGGGCTGAAAGGTGATAGAGCATTAAGTCATTCTGCTGTACTTCTCGAGATTATCTCCTTGCAGTTCGGAGTTTGTCTTCCACAGTGTGTATACACAGGTAGGTTTTCATTCTCTGTATCTTGCAGGTGCTGCTGTTCCATGACCAGAGCTATGGTCTACACTATGAGTACACAATCCCTCTGGATCCATTTCCTGAAAATCAGAGCTCTAAAGTACCAGAGCCTCTTTTCATGTGGACACATTCTGCCTGGGAGGACTGTGATGCTGTATGTGGAGGAGGTAAAATAAAAGAAAAACGTACAGACACACACACAGATACACACATATATTAAAAATTAATACGCATATACAATATGCATATATATGGACAGTGCAGATGTGTGTATACAATGCGCATTTATATGTATATACACTGTGCTTGTGTATATATTTAAGACTCTGATGGTCGGTGTTGTATATTTAGTAGTAATATCCTCATTGCAGTTTGTGTGATTCCATACAATGTGGACATACATCAGTCTCATGCTTTCTGATTGCATGACAAAACTGTGATAACTCTAGGAAAATATTCAAACTAAATAAAGTAGCAAAAGATGGTAATGAAGGAACTATATCCAGGCTAGCAAGCAAATTTAGGACACAGTTTCCAAGAAGAAATACAAGTGCAAAAGCTAGAACAAGAATAGAAAGTTCATATGCATTCCACTCTGTATTTGGAACTATTGAAGATAAACAATCTGTAAAAGATGTTTCAAAGCACAGAAAAGCTGGATCTCAGTTTCAGATCAAATACATACAGTTAGTAACATGAGTTGAGGATGACCCAGAAACGTATGGAACGAATATTACAACAGCAGATATTAGTATGCTGATGTGATGTGATATTTTTCCTGTATTTGGATTTATTAACTATAAAAAATGTGATTTTGGAAGAACAAAATATGATTGTGAAAACAAATATCGGAACATGCGAAATATTGCTGCAACAAAAGTCTTTAAAACTGCCATCTAGAAGATGTTATTCAAATAGATAATTACACTGAAAATACAGTTCAGAGGTTTTTTTAATGAATGCAACTTACAGTCATCTCTTCCTACCTTGTCTAATTAGTCAGACTGTGAACACTATTGATATTTGACACCTGTCTTTCCTGCTTACAACCTTGACAGTCATGATTGCTCTGATAAGCAGTTCTGAAAACGGCTGTGCACCTTATGATTGAATAGGAAGGGCTGGAAATGCTTTACTTTCTCATAACAGCAGCATAAGGAACACAGTGTTCTAGCTCCTTTGGCTATTTCAACAAGCCTGGTGTCATTAAAGATTGCTGCAGTTTCCATAAACATGCCTTTTGTGGTTTGGTAAGAAAGCTTCTTCCCTAGAAGTTATTTTGTATATAGTGCTAGTAGCATCCTCTGATTCTTAGTAGTGCATTCCCATTCACTTGTGAATTCATGTTTTTTACCGTTTCCTGAAGTATTTTTAGTGCAATTTTAGTGCTACCACAATCTGTCACTATTGCCCCAAATATTTCCGAAGTTACCTATCATCTGCAGAAGTCTTAAAATGCAGTATGTCAGTAACCTATTCTACATTAATGCTTAAATAAATATTTAAATGTTTTACTGTAATGTTTATCATATTTTTTCTCTTGTAACTGGCCTTCATTTTATGTTATTGTCTAAAATAGCCAAGTTAAAACAAAGTTCCATAAAAGGTATTTTTACTGCAAATATTCTGAACTACAAGTGAAAGATTTTTCTAACTTTAGACAAAACTACTTTAATTGTTTAGTTCTTTGCTTAAATATCAAGCAGTAATGAAATTGAAGTGCAGCAGCTTGTACCCAGTCTAAATATTTGTGATTCAAATTTAACATCAATATTTTGATGAATTTGAATAAAGAATATAACAATTACCAGCAGTTTTGCTTAAATGCTTAAATTATATGTCAGGCTGAAGCTATTGATGAAGCCATGTGGTTTTGTATATATTTATACATGTAACTGGTCTGTGACCTCCTGTATTGCAGAAAAGCTTTCTTTGTGTGGGAAAGAATATGAATACACAGATGTATATGTAGATGCAGAAAGAATGGTCAAACATTTCAAACACTGTGATGTGATAGATTAGTTGTATGTTCTCTCCCATACAAAAGCAACGTGTAAAATGCCAGCTGTGGTCACGCACATAATGTGCATTTATAACTTAACTGCTCCATCCACAGGCACATTTCTGACCTCGGGTGAACGTGCCTGCTTACGTCTGCCCTGCTTATGCTTGCGCCCTCTTTGTCAGTAAACTTCCAGATAGCGTGCAAAAAGTAACTGCAGGAACAATTGGTTATGACTCTATTTTCTACTAATTGAAAACTTTAATTCAAACATTCCTAGTTTTCTAAAAATTAGGCTCCAGTCTAATTACAGGTTACTGCTTGTGGTAGGTATTACATTAAATACTGATTTCTAGTGCTTCTGCCTTCAAGAGAAACCAAGTTCCAGCCCACCCAGCAGGGCAAGGATTCTGTACAGAGCATGCACAAAGTCTCTGCAGGCAGTATCCAGCTTTCTAAATGATTACCCTGCAGATCAGGTCATCTGGCCTCTTTAGTTCGGAGGAATATTGCAGGCTCCTTACTAAAGTTTGCATGAGTTGATTCCATTTATCTGAGTGCCTGCCACAATTTGTCATTCCTTTCCTCATTTTTACATTAATTAGCAACCATGCTTTTCTTTGTAATTTTTCTGCAAGCTTTGCTCAATGCCGGGGTTTCAATGATTGAGAAAGAAAATTATTCCAGTAAGACTAAGGTTTTGGCCTATGACTAGTTACATGAATAAAGCAGCAAGACTCTGTTGACAGTGGTGTGCAAAGACTGGATTAGAAAATCACTATGCTTCCTGCAAACTGTAGTATCTCTCTGAGGCTCCCTGCTAGCTTTGAATTTCTTACACCAGTTTTGCAGGTTTTTTTAGCCAAACTGTACATGAAATAGCTCTATCTATGTCCTTCCTTAAACAAAGTTGCACATTACTGGTTTCATCACATATGTGCTTTACTGTTTACTAGGTGAAAGAAGGACAACGGTGTCTTGCACAAAGATTATGAACAAGAATATCAGTCTTGTGGACAACAAGAAGTGCAAATATTTAACCAAACCTGAACCACAGATCCGCAAGTGCAATGAACAGCCATGTCAGACCAGGTAATAGTGATTTGGTTAAATTAAGCAATAATATTTAAATGTAAAAATCTTAGAGGCTAAAAGATTTGACTGCCTCTGGCAATGAATGTGCAGTAAATATATACATCCAGAAGGTTATTATGCAAAATATAGGGAAAACAAAAACACTGGCTGTTGTTTCTTCTACATTTTATGAAAGAGGGTCCTTAAGCACCATGCCTAAATCAATTCTTATTCATTAAAGCAGTTCATTACTTTGCCTAGAAAGTGTTCTCACAGACTGATTTGTGTTACAAAATTGAAATTTAAATGCTGTTTATATAAAGATATATATGGGATTTAATCCCATGCTTTTAATTGATGATATATTTTAGTGGGTATTTTTCACTCAAGGCTTTACTTCTTAAGAAGCTTTCAATAAGCTCTGGGCACACTAAATAGTAAATAAATAAACAAACCACTGTTAATCAGGTCTTCTGCATTTATGCAACTTGATGTATAGAGCTCTGCCCTCACACCTCTCTTCCTTCTCCCCCCCATCTCTATATATGTGGATCAATAGGCTGAACTAGACTGTGATGGCTGAATACTGGAAGAAGCAGGAGGAGCCTTTTCCTCTGAATTTCACTCCAGGAGGCAGCTGTAGCATGCAGCCTGTGCCCTGGAAAGCCCACCAACCCATTTTGGTGTCCCTGCAGCTGAGCTGGCAGCCTGCTCCTTGCTCTAGCTGGCCCAGCCATCACATTGACCCATTTCAGAGTTTGCCATCCTGTTTCCATACAGTAGCTAAGAATTACAACTAAGTATTGTGTGGACTTGTTTAAGGTATCTGCCACCTTTCAAGTGTGGGGAGAGCAGCTAGCAATAGCTGGCTAGCATCCCCAAGAGTAAGCACTAGGATCGGTCTACTGCAGTCATCTGGAGGACAGGTAGATGGTATTTTTAAACAAAGCAATGCAAAATAAATAAAATTCAAATATTGTTGAAAAAAGTATGTAATGTGTACCTGAAGACATTACTTTCTTGGAAAGGATGAAGTACTGAAATTGATAAAATGCAAAATATGATACAACTTAAGTAAAACAAAATCACTGACGTTTTGACTTGCTCAGACTAGAGCATTGTGCTTTGGAGGGATTTCATTATATACATATGTGAGCAGATCTTTATTTTAATCTATTAATATCTCTGTGTAGTTAATGGATAGAAATGGAATAGTCTGATCTTTTTCTGAGGCATGGTCAATTATAAATTTTCAAAATTCTGTGCTTTTTCCAGCTTATTAAATTTAATTTTTAAGTGTTGCTAATTGATACACAGAGATGCTGAGAAATGTAGAAATATATAATGATACAGTTTTTAATGCAGCATAAGTGATCATTACAGAATAAATACTGTGAGCTTTCAACAGAAATGTAGCTAAAGCATATGCTTGCATAACCACTTATTTGCTATTGGCACTTGAAGAAGCATTGTAAATTCTATTGCATTATCTTGACAGGCTGTGATTTGTAAATTATATCTCTGGACTGATAATAAAAGAAACCTAGTTTTATTTTCCTGCTACAAATGCATGACAGAAGGTTGGAACAGATTTCCTAAAAACTCTCCTTGCAAGCTAAATATCCTGGAATACACTTGTGTACTGCATCAGGGCAGATCTGTTTGATTTTTTAAGGGCATATGGCCATAGACGGGATCTACAGAACATTTGGGGAAAATTATGTTCTAAAATGATTGCTCTCTGGGTATGTGGGCTCTGCCAAACTGCATCAGCCTTCCTTGCTGCTGTGATTTAAACCATCCACCCTGAATTAGGTCTGACCCTGAAGAACATTAAGAATTCTGAGCTTTTATACTTTCTCTAGAGCAGTGACCCTTTCACACTGGAGTGATACTTTCTTGCAACTGAGTATTTTCAAGAACTGCTGTACTTCATATGCATGCCATGCACTTGGTATTTAGATAGTCATGCAGACAGACAATAGCAGACTGATTGGTGATCTGTCATCTTTAAAATGTATGTGTAGTTTGGAATTCTTCTAATTGAAGTGGTAATTAAAGTACTTTGAAAACATAGGGATAGTGGGCTGGGGAATTAAATTGTATTAGCATCAACACTTTATTTAATATAAAATATGTTAGAGTAATAAGTGATCCATTAACAAAGTGAAATTAAAAGGACACTGAAAATATGCAAGTATGTATTGGGTGTGTGCACTTTTTAAACAAGAGAGTAAGATAGTGTGATGGTATTTTCCCCTTCCTGATTTCTTATTAGTACATTGCCTGTATTTCTTTGCAGATGGATGATGACAGAATGGACTCTGTGTTCAAGGACATGTGGAAAAGGGACCCAGAACAGACAAGTAGCCTGCACACAGCAGCTCAGAAATGGGACCCTGATCAGAGCTAGGGAGAGGGATTGTCTCGGGCCAAAGCCTGCGTCGGCACAGCGCTGTGAAGGACAGGACTGCATGACTGTGTGGGAGGCAGGAGTCTGGTCCGAGGTGCTGCATTTATTTATACAAATAATCCATAGTGCCTTAGTATTTTCTGAGAATAAGATTTTTTTTCAGCAGCAAGTGGCACAGCTCAGCCTAATGATTTTCACGGTCATCATGCAATGATTTGGCATTGGGTTCAGGGACTAGGAAAACCAGCTGTGTAGAATTACTACATTTTACCTAGTTAATGTCCTGGAACAGTTTCTTTTGGCCAGTTTTCAAGCATGTATAATCAAGTATGTCCTGAGTGTAGTAGTGGGTAACTAGGGGCAAGTAGAATTAAGGTATCACTTACCATCTGCAAGGCCTTGGGTTCGGAGTGGGAACATCTCTGATGTACTTTGGTACCAAGGGATGATGATCAGCAGATGCTTGGTGCCATCCTGCCTCAGAGAGTCTTAGAGGGGAGCTGCTGGCAAAGAAAGACATTTCCTTCCCTTCCTGTCTCTTCTTACCTCTTTTTCCAAGACACGAGCTTGTAAATAACACAATTTCGCTTATGTTGCATCCTGAAACATTGCTGCAGAATGTAATTATTGTTTAAAAATCTTTAATTAACATCTTTTAATGTGCATGCCCATTTGGCTTTCTTCATCTTCATTTTCTTCTTCATCTTTGTTTTCTTCTAAAAAGCTGTACTACTTCTTAAAGTAACTGACTGTGGAGGAGAAGGTTGTTATTATCACTGCCATCTGGACAAGATGAAGGGGTTATTTGGAACTTCTCCCTTTACAGGAAGAGCAAAGGCAATTCTGATTGCCTCCCATATCAGAAGCTGTGCTATGGATGCGTCTGTGATCAAAGTAAAAATAGCAGCTTCTGAGCGTGGATGCAGTCCCTTCTTTGAACTGCTCTACTCAGCAGCACCCCTTGATCCTTGGGCAAGAGCGAGCTCAGAAATAGGGAATGTTTTCAAAGATGAAAAGCAGATGCTAAGGTAGAGACAAGAGAAGTAAATAGCAGCTGTTCCTGGTGTGGTACATAGAGGTTTATAATGCAAGGGCTGGTTGTGAGGAGTATGGAATTCAACTACAGAGGTGAGAGAAAGAAACACATGCTTAGTTTAGTTGGTGTGTTTTACTTCAGAGATGAGAAATCAGTGAGCATGTTTTTGTTGGAACCAATAAATATATTTTTAAGAGTGAGGTGTTTCCCATGACCATTCTTACTATCACTTTTCTATAGGAAGCTAGCCCTTACTGCTTCCTGCAGTTATAATCAGCTTGGCAAAGGACTGTTTTGATCTGCATGTGGCAGAATGATCAAAAGCAGTGATAATGTTTTGAGAAGGAAATGGCACAATTTTTGGCAGTGTAAGTGGGAATGGTGGAAAAACTCATAGATTAGGACCTTCTGTGCAACTTAAAATGAGTTTTCACATGCTGTGTATACAGTGACATGGAATTTTCAAATTCAGTCTGGATTCTTACATGGTTTTAGAATATTTACTTTTCCATTTTAACTTTTTCCCTCCCAAAAAGGTGTTAGACACTAGCTGAGCTTTTCTGAAGTTGCTTGATATCTTTTTCTTATAAACACTATTTTTCTTTCATTATACTTCTTTTCATTTGTAGAAAAATTGCCTAATATTTCTAGTGTACCACTGTGCCCTCACTTAATAATTTTTCAGATGTTTTCTTATTCAAGAGCCCATTTTTTCCTTAAGCAAATAATTTTTTATGCAATTAGCTATTTTTAGCTGAAATACAACAGTTATAATTCTGCCCCATAAGGAATTCTTGTTCAGTTTTTATTTTTTAACAAATCTGCCTATCACTGAAGGCTGGAAGTCAGGAAATCAGTGAAGTCATGAAATATTTATGTTGGCCTGACAGCAGTCATTGGAAGGGGATAAAATGGAGTAACAATAACTTTTGTAGAAACCTGAAAAACATCTTTTTCAAACAGTGCTCTGTAAAGTGTGGTAAGGGAGTACGGCATCGGACTGTGAGGTGCACCAATCCACGCAAGAAATGCGTTTTGTCCACAAGACCTAAAGAAGCAGAGGACTGTGAGGACTATTCTAAATGCTACGTCTGGAGAATGGGAGACTGGTCTAAGGTGAGTCATCTTTGATAGTAGTGCCTCACAGCATAATAAATTTTGCAAGCTGAGTTCTTTGTAAGAATTGCTTGTTATCAAATGTGTGCAAGTCTTCCAGCTGAGGGAACAATAAGGCTAAAAAAAAAAAAAGACAAAAAAACAACCCTAAAATTGTAGTCGCAGTGAGATCAGGGTATAAATAAAAATCAGAAATATGAAGAAAGTGTGAGATGCAGTATCATGCAAATCTGGTAGAAATTTACTGTTGTCAGTAAGCAGGCAAGCAACTCCAGAAACTGCAGCTTACTTAAACCTTACAGTTTGCATATTTCATTAATTTGTGTTTGCACATTTTATTTTTGTTTCCAATTAGTTACACCCTTCAGCCTTATAAGGAAGCATCTTTAGCCTATTGAATTTCCACATAGACAATTTAACATCTAGGAAGCAACTATTACTACCTATTCGGGACACTTGATGTAACTGTCAGTACATTATTTCCTTGGCATATGGGTTTTGGTTTTAGAGAGGGGCAAAAGCATATGCCAAACTGTAATAATGATATTTGTTAGATCTGTGTGTTATTAGGCTGGGACCTTGAACATCTAATACATTTTTGAATTTCTAAAACTTGCTGAAATTCTGAAATTGAACCTTGTCAAGGATTTCTTTTGCTGTATCACAGACCACACTTTAGCAGAAAGATTGTAGTCGCTTTTTTTTTCACTTCTCTTCATAACTTTGCACATAACGCTTTTACTTTCAGCACCTAACATTATTGCAGCGTTTTTTAACTTGCTTGTATGGAGAAGTATTTAATGTATTTTTAGTTGTCTTCCATGTGATGTAGGAGGTGGAAACAAGGACTAAAGCCAGCAGTGTATGACTAGCCAGCCTTCCAAGAATTAGCTGCAAATGCTCTGTGAGTAACTAGTTACTTCAAAAGCACATAGTATAACCATTTATTTTTTAAGCAGCAGAAGCAAATAACTTTCAGTAGCAGTGTTCCTTTTACAAGAAGATATGTTTGGCAATAAAGTTTAGTATTTGCATTTCTATGCCACATAACTGCAGCAAAAACCTGCATCATTTAGCACTAGCACCAGTAGGGAGTAAACTGTGTAGAAATGACCATCTGCTTTCTTAATTGAAGCAGTCATTCAAATTGGGGTGGCTGAGGCTATATGGGGATGCTCAGACAGTTACATTGTGTTCCCAGTGCCCTCTGGAGAGAAAAATAACTTTATTCTCTAATTCAGTACTTTTCACAAACATCTGTGTCATCGATGAATGTACAAGAACTTGTCTTGCTGTTCAAAGTATACGGACAATGTTGTATGTTCTGTTTCCATCCTATAGTCAAATCTGTAACAGTCTCAACTAAATTGTGCTTTAAACTTCGAAATTATGAGATGAGGAAATATTTCATATAGGACTGACAAAATCTTTTGAACAGTTAACATACAGTCTGACTGTGACTTGTACAGCAGAGATTTTCCAAGATCTATACCAAAACACAGATACTCCAATTTCTCCAGAGAGACACGAGTTCAATTTAAAATATACTTGGATTTCCACTTTTTTCCCTGTTACTCTTCTGTTCCATTGCAAGAGTACATAGCAACATGAAGTCATGGCATACATGTTAATATGTCTGCAATGGAGGAAATAAATGGAAAGCTCAGATAAATATACATCTTTGCTCACTGTTTCTAACCCAGAGGTTCAGTGCAGCCTTCTGTGTTCACTGCTTTTACTCCTTAGGATTGTTCTTGACATTGACAGAAGGCTGTTCCTTTGAGGAGAGCCAAGTTCCCCCAAGCTAATGCCAAAGTTTGGCTTCAAAAGTTTAAGTGACACTTCTCACACATTGAAACAAGAGGCTTAATGTGATCCTTATTGGCTTTGCTTCCTCCCTTGAACTCATAAGGCATAATTTTAAATGAAGCTTAAATTGCACTATTACTGAAAAGATAACATGATTAATAATCATGGTAGTACTGCAGTGGAGTTAATTTGTTTTAGCAGTACAGTCACATAGAGATCAAATAGTTCTTGCACTCTATGTTTTAACAATAATACCAAGATCAAAGAAAATTGGTCCAAAATTCCAAGCTCCAATAGGTCAATAAACACACTGATCCTTCTAAACACAAACTTAATTTAAAAGAAGTTTGTATAACCTGGCCTATATACAGCATTATGCTCTGTAATGGCTTTTAAGTCAGCAAGGTGGGTCAATATGCTAAACACCACCATTGTGAACATCAGCTGGGCTCTGTGCCCACCCTCGTCAGGGATGTGAATATGATGAGAAAGTAAAGAATAAAAGTTCAAACTGAGATTCTGGAGCCAACACCTGGCAACATTACCAATTGTGTTGTATCTTCCCAGTGAATGCTGACCTTGGGATACCATACATAACAGTGAAAGAGTTAGCTTCAGATGAGGAACTCTCATAGGTTGTAGCTATTCTAGCACCAGTTAGGATGAGGTGTTATTAGCAGCAATGTCCCATACTAAGCTGCCCATTGGTCATCCATTTCAAGGTAACATGAATACAGGGTCATATCAGAGAAATTAATCATCTGAGTATAAACAAGTAGACGGGGAGAGGTGAAATGAAATGTATATGGACTTTACACATCTACCCAGCTTACTAGAGAACACATAGTTGTAGAAATCATACTCCAAAAAAGACTCAAATGTCAACAGCACAGGATGCTCGAAGGGCATGTCAAGGGTACTTTACTTTATGTAGAAAGCTGTGTATATTTTTTCTGCTATTATCTAGACTCTTCAGAATATCAGTGGAATAAATGAAGCATAAGAGGCAGAATGAATTTTGGAACAGAGAATAATTTGGAGAGTGGGTTTTGAAAACAATAGTTAAAAACTTAAGCTTAATACTTAGTTTAATGTTTATTATACCAGGAACTTTTGGAGATACTCAGCAAGGGATAATAGGACCAGACAATGAATTAGAATTTAGGACCAGCCATTTGTAAGATGAAGAAATAGAAAATATTTGTGTATAGGAGACCAGAGAATATAATGTGTTGTAAGTTGTAAAAGGACTGTAAAGAGGATGCATTCTGTAGAAACTAAAGAAAGAGCAGCCACAGAGTTTCTAAATAGTATCTATATGTTGGATCAGAGATGCAGAAGAATCAAATAAAACATCTGGGATGGTGCTCCCAATGGCTGGGATGGAGTTCGCTTTTCTATAGCCTGAAGAAGCAAAAAATGTGAAGCAAAGGTTAATCTGATACATTTTTTTCCACTGAGTCTGAACAGACATCTGAAGCAACTGCTTGTTTTTTACACCAATTAGTCCCAGAATTCATGGCCTATTCCAAAGTGTTTATTTCAGACAGTACATGCAGTGCTCCCTACAAAGTGTGTGCGTACAGGGAGGAAGTCAAGACTCCAGCTGTTGTGGGGAGACAGAGTTATAGAGAGATCTGCTGATTGAGTGGTACAAAAAACAGCTGTCAGTGATGAAGACTTTTCTCGTCTGTCCCAATTAAAGAACATGTGAAAATGAAGATAGAAAAAAAACCCAAACTCTTCCTTTGGTGACTATCCATAAGCATGGGACATTTAACCTTTAAACTGTGTGCTTAGACATTTAAACAGCCCCTAAATTTCCACAACAAAAAATTCAACTGATTTAATCTCCTTCAATTAAAAAAAATAGAATTTGGATAATGATAGAATCATAAAATTTAAGGGTTGGAATGGACCTTACAGATAATCTAGTCCCAACCCTCCCTGCCATGGGCAGGGACACCTCCTCACTAGATCAGGTTGTTCAAGGCCTCATCCAACCTGGTCTGGAACACTGCCAGGTTTGGGGCAGCCACCACTTCCCTGGGCAACCAGTTCCAGTGTCTCACCACTCTTACAGTAAAAACCTTTTTTCTAATATCTAACCTAAACTTCCTCTCCTTCAGTTTGAATCCATTACCCTTGTCCTATCATTGCAGTTCCTAACACAGAGTCCCTCTCCAGCTCCCTTGTAGGCCCTTCAGATATTGAAAAGTTGCTATGAGGTCTCCACACAGTCTTCTCTTCTCCAGGCTGAACAGCCCAATGTTCTCAGCCTGTCCTCATAGGGGAGATGCTCCAGTCCTCTTATCAACTTTGTGGCCTCCTCTGGACTTGCTCCAACAGTTCCATGTCCTTCTTATGCTGAGGGCACCAGAACTGCACACAGTATTCCAGGTGGGGTCTCACAAGAAATTAATGTGACAGTTTTACTGACAAGGTAGTTAGCCTTGGTTTTATTCCTTGGATCCCCATCCAAAATTGGGAACGGAATAGTGCTGGCCATGAGTCAAATTATGAAACTATCAATAGATTTATGGACAAAGAAATTACATGACTTTTGTGAAATAATAGAAGGGAAAATAAAACTGGCATCAGGTTAATAAATTTTATATTGACTTAATTATAGTTAATTTCCAGCAAATGAGGTATGTCTGCATTTCAGAAATGAACTATGGGCAAATAATATGAAAAGATGCTGAAATATAAATATAAAATATTTATTACATCTTTTGTTTCAGAAAAAGGGGGTTTTTTTAGATCACTGTACTGAAGTGTTTGCCTGGAATAAATGTAATGTCATGTTAGTTTCTAGAAAAGCAGAGTAAGACCACCTGTAATACTAAGCAAAACCACTGATGACTGCAAAGGATTTTTAATTGAAACATTACCCATTTTGCACACACACAAAATCACACATAAATGGGAAATTCTAGCATCAGTATCACACTTAGATCTACTGTGACATCTTTGTTGGCTTTCTACTACAAGTATATTTAGGGTAAAAAAGTAAACTGGAATCAAAAGGTAATTAGGAGTGGATGTTGTATTGTCTCTTGAGTTGCATTATCTGTAAGTGGGTCTATATTAGAAAATAATTAAGTTCTAGTACATCTTAATAGTTCCCATCAGAACTCAACCTTCTTAGGCCCCATAGAAAAACAAAGCAAGAACAAACAAGAACAAAA